TCGTTGATAATTCAGTTGAGCCAGGTGAAGATTCTGGGCTAAGCTCCTAAAAAATGAACTCTTGATTGTGCGATACGTACCGTAAAAAGTACTTTAGAACCAGAAATAATTTGACAGAAGCGATAGATACAGAATTTCACAAGAGGATTACAGGTATATTGAAAGTAGCAACCTACCGATAGAACGCCAACACTATCGGTATTCAATTCATCACGAAGTGGTAACTGAATCGGTTGTGATAAATTGTTCATCGGTTCCACTTGTTGTTGCCTCACAAACGACTCTGTTGAACAAGACGTACCGTAACCGAACGCGTAGTGCGATGTCGGTGGAAAAGACATTCCATAGGCCATCTAAAAACTTTATTCATCAAACTTCGTCAAGATAATCTCTTCGAACATTCGTTGTCGTATCCGAGAGCAAAATTGTGATACAAATTTTTGATCGATACAAAACGTGCAAAAAGTTGATCGATCTTGAATTTCGATCGATCGGAGGGCGATTTTTTGAACTTCAAATTGATGTTGTACGAGAATTTCCAGTCAATAGGGAACTTTCGAAGCACAATTCAAAAGAGCCCACAAAACCTGATGTGTTGGTAGAAAGCCCATGTTCATGTTTGTACACTCGGCGAATTCTCGGCTCATCGGTGCATTCGTCATGTTTGTGAAATACGGTTGGATTGGATAGCCCATTACGGCACCGCTCACTGCAATCCATGCATCANCTTTTCGATCGTTAATTTCGATCAATTTTCAAACGATCCACTAACTGCCTCAGATTCTAACGATGCATCAGAGGATCAATTAAAACCTACTATGTGTGTTAATGGGATGATTGCGGAACATCGTAGCTAAATTCGATCCTGGACACTGCATCGAGAATGCCTGGAAGTATCGTTATCATGATATCTCTAGACAACTGGAAGCAATTCGATTATATGGATTAGATGATTGAAGTTCTTTGAATAGAACTAGATTTTGTAGCGAGTGAGATCAACACAAACCAAAAAACTAAATATGTAATTCATCAGTGTAACACCTCAATCGGAGCATTCGGCGTGGTGGTATCGGTTCGCTCATCAACCGTACTTGATTCGTCATCATCTTGTGATCCTGAACTCAGAGCATCGTCTTCTTCCTCATCACCAGACGAAGACGATGACCACTTGCTGAAAAATTTTTAATTTCATCAATTTCTGAAAGTGTTTGTGCATAAGTTACATTGATAATGCGTTAGGGCTGTTACATTTAACAATGTGTCAAACGTTAAATCATATCAACTGCTTAATTGATCCACATTCTTCTCGTCAGAATGTACTGAGATTAGTTTTTTTTTTCTGAACAGATTAATCGTCGATCATTTCTCTGGTCATCTTGGAGAACGGGAACGAAAGATACCGTGACGAAATACATGACTCGGTTTCTTTGGAAGCCGCTGCAGTGGTATTGCACATTCTCGTGGAATAATTTTGGCCACAGTTCATACCTTCTTTTATCGGCACTCGATCTGTTCAGCTCTGTCGAGGCTGCTCTTTTTCGATCCATAGCAGCCAAGTGAGTAGCGCTTATTCCAGCCGTTCCCTCACCACCACCTCTACACGAATGCTGTAAGTCATTCCTGCGATACACATCCGTTATGCTAGATGCCATGCTATCGCTAGCGGCTGTCACTG